AAGTCATACGCAGCTGTCATCCGTACGCAAGGAAGTAAGCACAAGATGCCGAAAACCCTTAGCAGGATGCAGCGCACCCTTCATGCGACCCGCCGAATATCTCACGGCGCTTCGCCCTTGGTGATGTGAGTGCCTGGTCCGGTGAGAACCCGGCGTGCTCCGTCCCGGCTTTGTAGGGATACGAGGTCAATGGTCTAACGACTATGGCATGCACGACTATGAGTACACTCCCCCCCCCGCCCTTGTTGGGTCGTCACCGCGTCCCTCCCCTCGTTGGGTGGTCCGTTTATGGCGTCTGCGTCGACGTTTTTCTTCGAGAAAAGACTTTCACAAACGGTACCGCCGACACCAACAACAGCAACCGCCCGGCGGCGGCGGCGGCAGCGGCGGCGGCGGCAATCGGCGGTACGGCGGCCAGAGATGCCGCCGCCACGTCCGCCGCGACGAGCATCGGCGGCGCAGCAGCAGCAGCAGCAGCAGCAGACAGCAGCGGCAGGCCGGTCTTCCACGAGCACATCCTTCAGGCTCTAGGCTCTCTGCGGCAGCGGAACGCGTCCGTCTTCTCGTCGGCAGTGGGGAGTGCCCGCTCCCTGGCCCTCGCCCGGCTCGGGTCCGGCGGCGGTGCCAGCCTGGAGGGCGGCAAGGGGCTCTACCCGTGCCTGGTCCAGCTGCAGTGCGTTGCGGAGCTGGAGGAGGCGTTCGAGGTGCTCTCGGCGGCGGCAGCGGGCGGGGCGCAAGGCGGGCAGCACGGGGGGGACGCTGTCGACGATGCGGTGAGCGTAGGGGGACGGGGGTGACGTGCTTGCTATATAGTAGCTGTGTAAACCTCGTCCAATCGAGGTTTTGTTCAGTGTTCTGTGAGGAGCCCTCGTGTTATTTTTTCTGACCTCAGAGGTCCCAAGAGCGTTGGTTGTCACAGCTCTTCATTATGCCCCAGGACTGACCTCGACGAGGCATCCATGTGTCATCCTCGAAGTCACACGCCGTAGTTCTCTTCTGCACGGTACACATGAACCGACAAATACGACTTTTGTGGACTGACAAACCTTCTGTGTCCTGCTTTATCCCACAGAGCGCAAGAAACGAGACTGTTCTGACGCCAGGAGAGAGACTCCCCCGCCTTGTCAATCAATCCAAGTACATTGCTTGCGCGAGTCTCATCTTTTCAAAATCCTTTTTTATTTCTCCTGATGTACTTTTCGCGTTTGATGTTGGGGCCCCCTATCCCGACTGACTGGTTGGCTCGACGGTCGGTTTCGCGTTGCAATTCTTCTCTCCGAGAACAATATTTTTGCGCTTGTTTTTTGTACCTTCTCACAGATACAATGCAAGTTTGTCTTTGAGTGAACTCGCGATGGAATCATAGTGTAATAACGTTGCAACCTACGCGCCTATGATCCTCGAGCAGCACGCAACAGTAGTGATATCTTCCGTATTTCCGCCAGTCTCATGTATCTGACTGCTGTGTAATGCGACGCTTTCCCCGAAGGCTTCGGGAGGTACATGGAATAGGTTCTTTGTTTCGTGAAGTTCCTTCTTCTTTTCTTCCCCTCTTTCTGTCTGTCTGTCTGTCTGTCTGTCTGTCTGTCTTTCTGTCTGTCCCTCTGTCTGTCTCTCTGTCTGTCTCTCTCCTCTGGCTTTGTGTGTGCACCCAGGCGGAGACCCTGATGGAACGGTGGCGTGCCCGGTCCGTGCCCGTTGAGGAGCACTTCGAGTCGCTGGAGCCCGTCTTGGCACTTAGGTACACATCGCAGGCGTGCGTGTCTCCCTACGGTCACTCGTCATTCCCTTCGAGGAGAAGGGGGGAGGAAGGGTTGTGTTCATGTGTGAAGGCATGCGGTAGTCGGTGCTCATGTAGGCGCGTGCGGGAGTCGGTAGACCATAGACCTCGCATCCCTGCAACGCCGGAGAAGGGGGGCGAAGACATAGCACCAGAGGTGTGGGGGAATCCTTCGCACCACGGCTTACCGTGCGTGTGGCTTGTATTGGGCAGTCTGACGGTGTCGGGAAGGAACTCTCTCGCGGAACCTTTGCGCTAGCTAGAGCATCACACCCACCGATGCCTGCGTCCCGCAACAACTGAGAAAAGCAACCATATATGATGGATACGAAGGTGATTTACCTCTCCCGCCCCCCGCCCCATCGCCGTCCCGAACATGTGTCGGCGTGCTTTTTCTTTTTTTTTTTCCGTTCTTGTTTGCGTCGTGCAGGGAGGCGATGGTAAGGATTCTGCACCACGAGAGGCCTGGGGTGCGCAGCCGGCGCTTGGTGTTGCGACACCTCCTCGACGTGTCTCAGTCCGCTAGGAGGGTCGGGCACCACTCCATTGCGCAGGTGTGACGGTGGGGGGCCGCGTGGCGTGTTTTTTTGCTACCAGCGCTCCTGCTGCTGCTTCCCTTGCCAACTCGCACGATATCGAGAGACAGACAGACAGACAGACAGTCAGTGAGGCAGAGAGAGAGAGAGAGAGAGAGAGAGAGAGAGAGAGAGAGAGAGTACGCACCCCGCTCGTTGACACGCCGCTGTCATCCCCCCAACATGAACCTCACGGCACCTCTGTGCTACGTAGGTGTGTCTCCACCGATACCACTGCACAACCATCCGAGAAGAAAGCAACAACACCTGCACACTATCTACTACAAACAGGAGCGAATACACCAACTTTGAACTACTCCCCCTTGGAAGGAACGATTGGCCATCGGTGATCGGTGCTGTGGGAGCAGTGCTCCGTCCCTCGTGCTAAGATTGACTGCCTTACGCCCCCCCCCCCCTGCACATATTCTTGGTCTTTTTCCAGGGTGCACTTCACCGTTTCCTCAAAGTCAGCCGCGCGGACGTCATCGCTACCCCTCCGTCGTCTCACCAAGCCACCGCCGCCGGCCGCAGGCGGCACTGCCGCCACCAAGCCCTTCGGCCCGAGGACCGAGCCTCCGAGGCCCTGCGATGTCGCCTAGCGGAGGCCCGCGTGTCGTGGGGGAAGGGAGAGACCGACGCCGCCCTGCGGGCAGCGCGGGCGGTGGCGACGCGCCTTCGGGCTCGTGTTGGCGGCGGTGGTGGGGCGGGTCACGAAGAACAGCGTCTTTTGTCGGAGGTGTGTGTGTGTGTGTGTGTGTGTGTGTGTGTGTGTGTGTGTGTGTGTGTGTGTGTGTGTGTGTGTTTGTGTGTGTTTGTGTGTGTGTGTGTATGTGTGTGTGTGTGTGTGTAGGGGCTTGGCGTGGGTGCTCTCGGCGTGGGAGTTACGTGCTTGGGGCTAAACACATGCTCGTTGTTGGGGATCGTTGTCTGGTGCCAAGCCATGCCGGCCGAACGTGCCCGTGTGCGCCATTAACAATCGAACAATTACGATGGTGCACCAACGATAAAACGAACGAACGAACGGACGGACGAGCAGAGCGGTCGTTGCTGCCGCTGCCCTTCCCAGGCGCTGCGCTTAACCGGGTCGTGGGTCTCCAAGACCAAGAGCGAGAGCAGCCGGGAGATCCTCGAGTCCTACCTTAACCCCGCGGTCGAAGCCGCGCTAGCCGGCGGCGGGGCGGCGTTAGCCGCCCCCGGCGCCGCAGGCGCCGCCGCCGTCGCGGCCGCCGCTCATCACGGGGATGATGATGACGGTGATGGTGATGGTAATGGCAGTCGTGCCTTCGGTGTCGGGTGGGGAGGGGGCGGCGCGAGGCGGCTGCTTTGCGCCGCGCACTTCACGCTCGCGGAGTACCTGGCGGGCCTGTACGCCTCCGTGAAGGGGCGCGTGGAGAGCCCGGAATGGCGGGCGGCGGGTCGGGTGTCGGAGAGCAGGGCGCGGGAGCTGTCGTCTTGCCTAAAGCAGGTTTGAAGTTGTTGTGGTGTTCGGTGTTGAGTGCAATGGCACTTGCAAGATGGGGGGATGGGGGGGGAGGGGGGGCATGAAAGAAAAGGGGGCAAGAGTTGGATGGAGAGACAATGCGACGGCCGATACAACATGTATTTTTGTGTAATTCAATGGCATCGATCCGAGGAATGTGTTCCGTCTGTGTTCCCTGCGTAGCGGCCGCGCGATTCCTGATGTCTAAAGTCCTCAAGTC